GATAAATTAGAGCGGAAGCCGAAAGCCAGGCCTTCTCATCCGACATCAGTTCCTGACCTCATAAATGCGCTTCTGGAAGAATGGTCAAACATTCCCATAGACACACTCCTAAACCTTGTGGACGGCCTTCCCAGAAGAGTTGAAGCTGTTATAGCTGCAAAGGGCGGGGCCAATTCAATATTGAACCCTACGGACTAAGACTGGGATGCCATTAAAGCTCATATGGGTGTAAAGGCAGGCCGACCAATACTTTTGGCAATATATTGTATTTAAATTTGACACTATGGGATTGATTTACTAAAATTGGTGCACACAAAATCCAGTGAAGCTGTGCATATTAACCAATCAGCTTCCAGGTTTCATTGTTCAAGCTTAACTGAACAAGCTGAAATCAGAAGCTGATTGGTTAATATGCACAGCTGCACTAGATTCTGTGTGCACCAATTTTAGTAAATCAACCTCAGTGTCACATTTTAATATGTTAAAAGCATACTCCACCCTTTATACGGCGTTTCATGTTACACCCATATACCCAGTCTGTATGTAGGGTGTAACATGAAACATGGCCACAGAACAGATTTCCAGCAGAGGTAGTGAGTCAGGCAACAGTAAGAAGTTTCAAAGCGTATCTAAACCCAAGAACGAAAATTGCTTGTGTGGCACCTTATAGGTCCTTGGATATGGTGGCTGCATTAGTTTTTTTCTACACACTATATATATATATATATATATATATATATTTATATATATACACACACACACATACACATACATACATACAAACACACTATCTTTCCAGAAGTGAGTCCACCCCTCACATTTTTGTAAATATTTGATTCTATCTTTTCATGTGACAACACTGAAGAAATGACACTTTGCTACAATGTGATGTAGTCAGTGTACAGCTTGTATAACATGTAAATTTGCTGTCCCCTCAAAATAACTCAACACACAGCCATTAATGTCTAAACCGCTGACAACAAAAGTGAGTACACCTCTAAGTGACAAGATCCAAATTGGGCCCAATTAGCCATTTTTCCTCCCCCATGTCATGTGGCTGGTTAGTGTTACAAGGTTTCAGGTGTGAATGGGGAGCAGGTGTGTTAAATTTGGTGTTATCGCTCTCACTCTCTCATACTGGTCACTGGAGATTCAACATGGCCCCTCATGGCAAAGAAATCTCTAAGGATATGAAAAAAAGAATTGTTGATCTACATAAAGATGACCTAGGCTATAAGAAGATTGCCAAGACCCTGAAACTGAGCTGCAGCATGGTGGCCAAGACCATACAGCGGTTTAACAGGACAGGTTCCACTCAGAACAGGCCTCACCATGGTCGACCAAAGAAGTTGAGTGCACATACTCAGCACCATATCCAGAGGTTGTCTTTGGGAAGTAGATGTATGAGTCCTGCCAGCATTGCTGCAGAGGTTGAAGGGGTGAGTCTGTCAGTGCTCAGACCATACACCGCACACCGCATCAAATTGGTCTGCATGGCTGTCGTCCTAGAAGGAAGCCTCTTCTAAAGATGATGCACAAAAAAGCCCGCAAACAGTTTGCTGAAGACAAGCAGACTAAGGACATGGATTACTGGAACCATGTCCTGTGGTCTGATGACACCAAGATAAACTGATTTGGTTCAGATGTTGTCAAGTGTGTGTGGTGGCAACCAGGTGAGGAGTACAAAGACAAGTGTGTCTTGCCTACAGTCAAGCATGTTGATGGGAGTGTCGTGGTCTGGGGCTGCATGAGTGCTGCCGGCGCTGGAGAGCTACAGTTCATTGAGGGAACCATGAATGCCAACATGTACTGTGATGTACTGAAGCAGAGCCTGATCCCCTCCCCTCAGAGACTGGGCCGCAGGGCAGTATTCCAACATACTAACGACCCCAAACACACCTCCAAGATGACCACTGCCTTGCTAAAGAAGCTGAGGGTAAAGGTGATGGACTGGCTAAGCATGTCTGCAGACCTAAACCCTATTGGGAATCTGTGGGGCATCCTCAAAACGGAAGGTGGAGGAGCGCAAGGTCTCTAACATCCACCAGCTCCGTGATGACGTCATGAAGGAGTGGAAGAGGACTCCAGTGGCAACCTGTGAAGCTCTGGTGAACTCCATGCCCAAGAGGGTTAAGGTAGTGCTGGAAAATAATGGCGGCCACACAAATAATTGACACTTTGGGCCCAATTTGGACATTGTCACTTAGGGGTGGACTCACTTTTGTTGTCAGTGGTTTAGACAGTAATGGCTGTGTTGAATTATTTTGAGGGACAGCAAAATTTATTATACAAGCTGTACACTGACCACTTTACCAGGAAATGCAAATCACATATACATACATACATACATATATATATATATATATATATATATATATACACACACACACACATGCGATTTTGCGCATTCCTGCCGCCCTGTAGCAGTACTTCTGCAATAAGGAAGTCGGGACGCGGTTAATGCCGGACAAAACCCTCCTCTCCTTTACAGCCAAGGAAGCTGCCATCTTAACCTCTGTTGTCATGGTGCTGCACGTGATCAGCTATGACAGCAGCCATTTGACAGCAGGACAGTTCAGGTAAGATAACAAGCAACTGTGACCGTTACCATACACAGTATGGCTTGAATGTGACTCTTGTGAGAAATGGTCAATCAATGGGTTTAGTTCCCCTTAGGCTACTTTCACACTGATCCGCCGCAAACACACAACAAAAATGCATAGGCATTTTTATCACGTTTGTACTGCGCTTTCTGGACACGTGACTTACAAACTGCACCAAAACCGCTTCTCAGAGGTGTTTTTAAGACAATTTTCAGGCATTTTCCATTGATTTCAATGGGAAGAGGCGTTTTTTTTTAAACTCCCCAAACATGCTGCAAGCAGGAGTTTTTACACTGCACCGCAAGCGCAACGGCTCAGTGTGAAAACATAGATATAGTTTTTCTTGAGCTTTTCAGGCGCTTTTTTTAATGCAAAAACACTTGAAAAACTTCAGTGTGAAAGAAGCATTAGGAGCAGTTTTTAAGTCACATGTCCTTTAACCTCCATGGTGGTATAATTATGTCAATATTTTTCAATGTCAAAGCGGTACATTTTTTTTGCATGGAAATATGTTGTTTTATATTGTAGGCCTGTAATTATTAGGAATAACTCACTGAAATCCGTCCGAACAAGAGTCTAGTAAACATCCCGGGTATGAAAAAGTTTGAAACACGAAATCATAAATCTAATATTATAAATTATCAAAAATAATAATATAATAATAACTTTAATTCAATAATGTGATCAAACCAAAAACACTGAAATTTTAATAGTTCGCACATCACTGAGCTCAGTTGCAGAATCGTCGCTGCAGTCACTTTCAGTGTCTGATGATGAATTTCCCCACGAATCATTATCACTCAATTCTGCAAGTGGTTCTAATTTACTATCACTGTTCTCTAGCTGGTCTAAAAACCGCTTTTAACCTAAAGGGACGCTTTTTGGATGCCATGGACGTTTCTCAGTTTTCCAGGCAGAAAGAACAGACAAAATGCAGGGAGGGCACAGGACAAAGCACTCGGGACAAAATGTATGTGAAATGGTTTGATACAGTAAGGTCACCCTAACAGATTACAATGTATTGTGTGTATGTCATGGTTTTACTTTTTTGAATCTCCTGCCGGTTCCGCCCCCTGCGTCGTGACGCTCGCAGGGAAGGGAACCCAGAAGACGGATGCCGGCATCTGCCAGAGGACATCGGCCAAAGGACACAGTGGGAGGACATTGGGGAATTTCAGGACAAGGACTACAGTGTAATCCCGAGTTTGGCTCAGAGTTACTGCTTTTGGTACTGAAAATGAACCCTGAGCCACACTCTGGATTATCGGTAAAAACCGCCCAGAAAGCGCAGTACAATTGCCTATGCGTTTTTGCGGCAGATCAGTGTGAAAGTAGCCTTAGGGACAACAGTAACTGAAACAGTGTTCATTCAAGGCATGCCACACAACTGCCCTGGGAAACCATTAAACTGGTGGATTTAGTTCCACTTTAAAGAATAAATAAAAGCAAAACTTTTGTTTTTAGTGTTGAATAGAGTGGAGAGGGATTAGGACCCGTCAGTTTTTATTGCAGTCTGTGACCTCATCAGGGAGATTCACCCTCTCCACTTGTCATGTTTACCATTATCACAGAGTCAATGTGAAAGAAAATCACAAATTTTGGGTTGTCACCAGAATAGGAACAGAGTGGAAATCTTCCAATGGGGACACCAGGCATTTCCTCTAAGTACTGCGGATGGGCGGCCGCTGTAGACAAAGTGGCAAACAGGTATGTAGCTGCCTACTTCTGGGTTTCAGGCATGTGTGCCCCTCCCACACCAACACCGGCCATGACTGTCCGCAAGTCCTGGCCAATGATTTGTGCTCGGGACTTGCCGATTGGCTGTGTGCAATCACAGTCCAGAGCTCTGTGTTGGTAAACAACACAGGGCTCTGTACAGAGGGAGGAATCTGTCAGTTTCTCATCCCTGCAAAACAAGGATGAGAAACCAAGATGGTTTTAGTAAAAGCAGCACACTGTACACATATTAACCACTTCCACACTGCCCTATAAGAAAAATACGCTACAGGGTAGCACTGATCTGAAACTTCGAAATCAGTAGCATGACTCCAAAGCTGCATTCAGTGTGTGAACCAGGGCTTAGTGGCTCACCCCGGACCCCGCATCCACGACGTCCGCTCTCCCCGGACCCCGCATCCACGACGTCCGCTCTCCCCCGGACCCCGCATCCACGACGTCCGCTCTCCCCCGGACCCCGAATCCACCACGTCCGCTCTCCCCCGGACCCCGCATCCACTAGATCCGGTCTCCCCGGACCCCGCATCCACTAGATCCGGTCTCCCCGGACCCCGCATCCACTAGATCCGGTCTCCCCGGACCCCGCATCCACTAGATCCGGTCTCCCCGGACCCCCCCCCCGCATCCACTAGATCCGGTCTCCCCGACCCCGCATCCACTAGATCCGGTCTCCCCGGACCCCGCATCCACTAGATCCGGTCTCCCCGGACCCCGCATCCACTAGATCCGGTCTCCCCGGACCCCGCATCCACTAGATCCGGTCTCCCCGGACCCTGCATCCAATATATTTGGTCTCCCCGAACCCCGCATCCAATAGATCTGGTCTCCCCAGGCCCTGCATTCATTATATCTGGTCTCCCCGGACCCTGCATCCAATATATTTGGTCTCCACGGACCCCGCATCCACTAGATCTGGTCTCCCCAGACCCTGCATCCACTAGATCCGGTCTCCCCAGACCCTGCATCCACTAGATCCGGTCTCCCCGGACCCTGCATCCAATATATTTGGTCTCCCCGAACCCCGCATCCAATAGATCTGGTCTCCCCAGGCCCTGCATTCATTATATCTGGTCTCCCCCGACCCTGCATCCAATATATTTGGTCTCCACGGACCCCGCATCCACTAGATCTGGTCTCCCCAGACCCTGCATCCACTAGATCCGGTCTCCCCAGACCCTGCATCCACTAGATCTGGTCTCCCCAGACCCTGCATCCACTAGATCTGGTCTCCCCAGACCCTGCATCCACTAGATCCGGTCTCCCCAGACCCTGCATCCACTAGATCCGGTCTCCCCAGACCCTGCATCCACTAGATCCGGTCTCCCCAGACCCTGCATCCGCTAGATCTGGTCTCCCCGGACCCTGCAGTCACTAGATCTGGTCTCCCCGGACCCTGCATTCACTATATACGCTCTCCCCGGACCCTGCATTCACTATATCTGGTCTCCTCGGACCCCGCATTCACTATATCTGGTCTCCTCGGACCCCGCATTCACTATATCTGGTCTCCCCGAACCCTGCATTCACTATATCTGGTCTCCCCGAACCCTGCATTCACTATATCTGGTCTCCCACAGCACATACAACATGGAAATGCAATTATTTTAGTAAATATAAACTGCTAAATACCTTTTCTCATCAGCTGTATATAGCAATCTTGTGACTTCTATCAGTGTCCAGCAGAGCACTGGTAAAAACGTGTAAGAGTTTTCATTCTGCTCTAGGAGGATGCAGTACCCCTGACCTCTGTCTGATTAGTGCTGAAATATAAACTGCTAAATACCTTTTCTTATCAGTAGTTACAGCAGTCTTGTGACTTCTATCAGTGTCCAGCACAGCACTGGTTACAGCTTTTAGGAGGAGTTTTCTTTCTGTTCTAGGAGGATACAGAACCCCTGCCCTCTGTCTGGAGAGTGCTGATTGGCCCTGTGCTGATCACATGCACTCTCCCAAGAAAAATAAAACCTCTCTAGCAATACACACCAAACTGAGCATGTGCAGAGTGACTCCACACAATATGTCTTATCAGGAGAGAAGAGATGGTCGCTTGAAAAAGGGGAACAGAGATGACAGGATCAAAGGGCCTTTTTACACAATGCAGAGGATTAACCCCTTAGGTTCCACAGTGAGTATAACAAGCATGCTTTACTGCATATACAGACTGATTTTACTGTAGTGGGCTTAGTAACACTTTAAAAACACTGCCCCACCGTGCTGCAACCGTGTGCACTGCACGCATATGTGGTGCAGCATCATTCAGTTAAATAGGTTCAATCGGTGGTGATACTGTTCATCCCTTGTGATAACAATAAAGTTGAACCAAAAAATAAGGTAAAAATACAGTGTAAAAAAAAAAAAAGTAAAATAAAAAAAATTAAAGGTTTTAAAAATGTAAAGAGCCCCAACTGTGCTTAGGAGCAAACACACGTGTCAGTCTCACATGCATATGTAATCAGTGATTGCATCACACATGAGTACCACTACGAACAGAAGGATACTTTCACACGGCTCTGTATGAAAAATGCATAAAACCGCATACGCATTTTTGCAGCGTTGTTCCAGCATATCGCTAATTTAACGCAATGCATTGCGGTTTTGATGCGTTTGCGTTGCATTTTCTCCATATCACTTCTCACTATTCTAATACAATTTTCATGGGATTTCCAGTGCGACTAGTGAGGTGACTTTAAAGTTCAGTGCGATTTTAGCCCCATAGACTTCTCTGTTATTGTACAGAAGTCGCATCAGCATAGATAAGAAACATTCCTATGTGACTTCGATGGATCAGGGTTTCTTTTTATCCCATCATCTCTCCACCCTCATCCTTTCTGCCCAAAACCTAGGATTCACCCTGGAGCGGCTTTTATTCTTCCATCGATCAATCCTTACATCAATCATTCGAAAAATGGGAACGATAGAAGGATCAAATAATCAAAGGAAAGATCAATTGCAGGAAGGGTCGATCGATCGCAGGAAAGGACTGGCCGGTCGAGAGGAGGGTCAGACAGCCAGTCGCGAGGAGGGTGGGTCGGCCAGCCGGTCGGTTGAAAGGAGGGTCGGCGGGCCAGCCATCCAAAAGGAGGGTTGGCCAGGCCGGTCGAAGGGAGGGTGGGCGGCCCGGTCGGGCTGAGGGTCGGCTGGGTTGGTCGGCAGGGCCTGGCTGGTCGAAGGGAGGGTCGGCCCAGTCGGTCGGGCTGAGGGTTGGCTGGGTTGGTCGGCCCGGGCGGGACGAAGGGAGGGTCGGCCTGGCCGGTCAGGTTGAGGGCCGGCCCCGGCCGAGTCGAAGGGAGGGGAGGGTCGGCCCGCCCCGCCGGGTGAAGGGAGGGTCAGTTGGCCGGCCAACTGGTGGAAAGGGCAATAATTCTAGGGCCAATCCTCCTGTGTAACTCCAGACTGGTAACCTGTAAAGACTTCTATCATGTCACCTATAGATGAGTTACTTTATTGCCATTCCACAGGTGTACACAATTTTATAGCCTGGCATGTTAGGTATCCATTTACTCGGCGTAACATCACCTTTTTTTATGGTTCCAAATAATTGGGTGTTATATTGTGTTTTTGTGCATTAAAATGAATTCAATTTTTTTTTTTTTAAACTGCATTTGGAAAACTGCTGCGCAAATATTATGTCACAAAATCGCAGCGCTCACCATTTTATTCTCTAGGGCCTCAGCTTAACATATATATCATGTTTGGGGGCTCCATGCAGATTTGGGATCCGCACAGATCTATAATCAGACAACGATGTGACTGATGCTGCTGGGAGTATTGGGGTGTACGGGGGGCACAGACCACTCAGTGCACTATGAATGGGGGGGGATCTGAGCCATGTGACACCCCCAGCGCTCACCCACCTTGCTAACACTCATCTTCTCCATCTGTGCCGCCACGTTCTCCGACATCCCGATCACTCCGACCTCCTCCGCGCCCGGCAACTGCAGCAGCTGATGCAACCGGCTAAAAAGATAGTGACAACCCAACAGGGGGGACTTTCATCAGAGACACGCCCAGAGCGAAGCAAACGACCAATCACGGAAAGCAGAGTACTACTTCCCCGCCCACAAACAGAGAGGCTTGTCCCCGGCCAGCCAATCACAGCGCAGTGTAAGTTAGGTTGGGCTGCATCAGATCATTCGTGAGGAGTGCGGTTCCTCCACGCCTCTAGGCAGTGTCATGTGCGAGCGACGTGGACGCGTTGCGTCACCCCAGCGTGGACTACGTAACTAGCGTACGTCGGTGTATGAGGAATGGCTGGTTAGTGGCGTTTCCTGGCACCTCATTTCCGGTTCTCCTTTCCTTTTACTATGACTTCCTGGCTGCTGGGTGTGTTTTGTTCTACAGCTTCCCTGCAGCTTCACCATACCAGGTTATCCAATGCTGAGAGCCGGCAGCCGAGTAGCACTGCGATAGTAATGAACAGTGTGGTTTGCTTTAACCACTTGCCCTCCAGAGGATTCCCCCCCCCTTTCCAGGCCATTTTTGTGATACTGCGCTGTGTTACTTTAACTGGCAATTGTGCGGTCATGCAACGCTGCACCCAAATTAAATTTCTGTACTTTTTTTTTCCGACAAATTGAGCTTTCTTTTGGTGGGATTTGATCACTTCTGCGTTTTTTGTTTTTTTTTTGCGCTGTAAACAAAAAAAAACGACAATTTTGAAAAAAAAAAATTTTTTTTTTAGGCTATTAACGGCTTTAATTCCGGGAACTTTTACCCCCTTCATGTTCAGGCCAATGTTCAGCATTCAGCGCTCTCGCACTTTGAATGACAATTACTCAGCCATGCTGCACTGTGTCTCAACAAACTTTGGATCATTTTTTTCACAGAGATAGAGCTTTATTTTGGTGGTACTTAATCATTACTGGGGTTTTTATTTTTTGCGGAATAAGCAAAAAAAACGGTGAGAATTAGAAAAAAAAAAACGTTTTTGTAATTTCTGTTAAAACATTTTGCTAATAAGTAAATTTTCTCCATAAATGTAGGCCGAAATTTTTTTTGCTACATTTCTTCAGTAAAAATAACCCAAATCGGTATATTATTTACCCCGGTTCACATCTCTGCGGCCGTGCAGCCGTGTTTTGCGCAGCCACGAGAGCCCATTCATTTGAATGGACTCCTGTGCCCGTGACACACAGGGAAAGAAGTCCCTGCACTTTTGAAAACGCAGCCCGCACGGGAACCTCGGTTCACAGTACAGTTGTGTTTTCCAGTGCGGGCGGCGTGCCATTAGAACAAATGGCACCTGCCCGCAGGTCCGCATTTCTCTGTGCAAGTATTGTGGCTGCACAGATTTTTGTGTGGATCTGCAGCCGCACCACCCGCACATATCTGAACCTAGCCTTAGGCTGGCCATACATTATACAATTTTCTTGAGAATTTTGCTTTAGATTTACCAAAAACCATATAATAGGAGGTCAAACCTAAACAATACTTTCAATTGTATCCAATTAGGCAGGCCCTTGTGCTACATAGTGGAAGGTAAATCTAAATGAAATTGGACATAAAATTGTATAGTGTATGGCCAGCCTTATGCAGGCCATAGACGGGTTCGAAAACCGGCTGTTTTTTTAACAAAAAAAACAAAAAATCGGTTGTTCAATAGGCTGACTTTACCACCAACGGTAAAAAAAAAAAAAAAAAAATCGGCCAATTTTCGTCCCATCTACGGCCGCCATTTAATTACTTCTGTCCCTGCAGAGAGCTCCGCTATTATATTTGACATTAAAAAGTATAGCGGTTGCAACATTGTATCTATTTGTATCCATTTTGGATACAGATGTTTTTATTCAGATACAAATACAGATACAAATGTTGCAACCGCAATACTTTTTAATGTCAAATATAATAGCAGACTGGAATTCTTCCTCTTCTCCTCCTCTTCTTCTCTCATGCGCAGATATTTTATCAGTAAAAAGATCGGCCGATTTGCCCATCATTGCCGCGAAAATCAGCCGATTTTTTTCCAACTTTACCGATAAAAAAATATGCATACATGCAATTACTCCGCAAAACACATTCTGCTACTCCTCCTGAGTATGACAATACCACATGTATGAGACTTGTCCACAGCCTGGCCGCATACAGAGGCCCAACATCCAAGTAGCACCTTCAGGCATTCTAGAGGCATAAATTAGACTTCCTCTTCTCTCATGCGCAGATATATTTATCAGTAAAAAGATCGGCCGATTTGCCCATCATTGCCGCGAAAATCA